AGATATGTAGGAGGCAATAACTACTTGTGGAAGGTCTTCTGCTTTCTATGTTTTAAAATTATGAGACAAAAGTACTCTATTTAAAAGGTGTACAATTGTAAGTTATTTTAATTGGAAATACATGAATGTTTGTGTGTTGTGTGTGTGATCAATTTGTTGTTTTGCATTGTTTCTATTCTTCACTAATCTTCTGAAAGACATTTACAAACAGAAGAGTACTTGTCTATTTGATTACACTTTCAAAGCAGCTAGAAGAGAATTCTACATCTGGCTGTCTCCTCTATATTACATATACATAAGAATGAATGTATATATAGTCAACATAAATTCCTCTTTTAAAAACTAGTTGCATTCTATAAAACAGATACTGGTGTTTATTTCCATATAGTACAGAAATTTATTAAACAATATGGTTTTAATAATATAACTCTTGTAATTCAAAGATAAACTATTATATCGAACTTTTAATTAGAGACAGTTATGGTTAAAAACCTCAGGGAATCTTGAAACAGATGAAACAGATGTATGGAATTGAAAACGCAAAAAGGAATATTGTATTTTTAATAAGTTATCCATTCCTTATCAATGAGATCAGTCGATATGGGTGCTCAGATATAGGATCATTCCTCTTGAGACAGACTTGTAATTGTCTCCTTTCCTATCAAGAACAAGGTTTTATAATCCCCCATCTTCTCAAGAAGAGAACTGCAGCCATTTATGCCTGTATAATAAAAACATTCATGGAAAAGAAATAGAGAGGAGTCCTTAAATCCATTGTAGAAACATTTCTTAATTACCGAGAGATCTAAACCTCTCTTCCCAAATAGTCAGCACTTAATGCACATGGATAATTTTCTTTTCACGTAGAGAATAGTCTCCAATGATAATTATGTACAAAGTCTTACGTGTGGAAGTATTTGTTGAGCTTTCTTTATTTATTTGTGTCTGTTTATATTAAAAAAATGTGTATTGTCAATTCTTCAAATTAGTAGTGTCCATCATCTTTTTCAAATGTTTGTACATTAGTTACCATAGAAGAATAAAAATAGGAAATAACTTAAAGAAAAAAAAGTACAAAATAAATTACATGTATATTAAGACTCAATCTTATTTTATTAGTTATTTATAGTTTTAAAAGTTGTGTTTAATGACAAGGGGATACTCATATCACATTTTCAATCCTAGATCAAAGTGTAAGCCTTTTAAATTAAGTGGGTGAAAATATCAAGGCAGCTTAAAGGCCATTTAGCTGGTACTTCAGTTTACTTACTACTAGAGTAGTAAAGACAGGCTTTCTTCTTCCATGTTATAAAGATGGTTCAAGATGGAGAATCAACATTACTGATATAATCCTTTCTTACAGGTATTATAAAATCTCCATCCAGTTTGGAGAGCAATGGAAGATTATCTGAAGAATACTTTCATATATTTGCAGTAAGAATTTTCATGGTTATTTAGTGACATATGATTTCTTAAATAAGGATTAATGCCATCTATGTCTAACAGGTTGACACATTTAAAAAGACTTGATCCTGTATGATTATGCACTAGTATCACTATCCTACAAAAATTCAAGATTCAGACATAAATCAGAAGCTGCACTGATATGCAGTGAGAAAACTGTAACTTCCATGTACATCAAGAAAAAAAACTAGGATAATTATAAGTTTATTTTGTTGGTTTAATTGTTAGAATGTCAAGGTACATGGGAATAAGGCTGGGGATACTGAATTCAGACTTGGGACTTTGAATCTAACAATTAAAGAAAGAAAACACACTGGCCATTTAATTAAGCAAATAATCAAACAGGGACTATAATAAAAGTGTATCTTTAGTAGGAGTGAGAAGAAATAGAACATGCAGGTAAAATCACCAAAGTTCTAAGTGATTATCACAGGTCACACGACCCATTAAGAGTTAAAGACGATCACTGGCTGTTTCAACTCTCAACTACTTGTAGTAGGGAAGCAAATCACACAAGACAGATCCCATTATGACTGAAACATTTAAGCCTTTAAAATTTGTTACCCTGTGGGGCACCTGGGTGGCTCAGTCAGTTAAGTGTCCAACTTTGATTTCGGCTCAGGTCATGATCTCATGGTTCTGAGTTCAAGCCTGTCATGGAGCCCTACATGGAGCCCTATATTAAGCCCCACATAGGGCTCTATGCTGACAGTGTGGAGCCTGCTTGGGACTCTTTCTCTTTCTCCCTCTCTCTCTGCCCCACACCAGTGCTCTCTGTCTCTTTCAAAATAAATAAAGAAACTTAAAAAAATAAAAATAAAACTCGTTACCCTTTGGAAATCATAATGATTTCTACATCATTAATCCAGACTCCCACCGGATTTTAGTTTTGAAGTTATATTTAATTTGGAGAATATATTTACATGACTTAATATATAACTTTCTTCCATCTTGATATAAGTTGGAGAATGAATATTACTACTTTAGGTGATTAACAATGAAAGGCTTAAAAAAAATTACCTCACCTAAAAAACAAGAATGTTCCTAAGGACATGTCTCTGTCTGCATTCATGGATCCATTCCAAGGATCCTCCAGGCATGGGAATTTTTTAAGTCTTTCTAATACCTCTATGCACTTGATTGGAATCGGATAATATTGGCAAATACTCTAGTGAATAGAAGTAGTGCAACAACATGAAATCTCCTCTTGCTTTGTTTTTGTCTTTAGAATGTAACTTTTAGTCATTATTGTGCTGATTTTTTTTTAGTGGATAAATATATATAGCACCCCATATACACAAAGATTTTCCCTTAGTGAGTGTAACTCACTAAGAATTCTCATCTTTGTTCTTTCCAACCTTGGGCATTAGTAGAGAAATTTAGGTTTTCAATGAACTCTTTAAATACATAATCATTTATTGTTTTATATTAATATATGCAATGATTTAAAAGAACACCTAGTGGGGCACCTGGGTGGCTGAAGTCAGACTTGAGCTCAGGTTATGATCTCATGGTTCGTGAGTTCAAGCCTCCCATTGGGCTCTGTGCTGACAGCTCAGCCTGGAGCCTGCTTCAGAT